GTACGGGGGAAGAGGGGGGGGGGAGATTTTAAGGGGGGATTGAAATCTCGATTAATTTTAGCAATATTAATGTCAATATTAAAGAACTAATTTATTTTCAGATTTTAAAAATTAGAAAATGAAATTGATTTCATGTTTCGTTCTTCTCAGTTCTTCACTTGGCTTCTCAGCCGCTACGGAGGGTGGAGGTGATTATTTTTTTTTTTATTAACATCTTTTACAATTTTTTTCGTTTGTCGAATTAATGCCTATTCTTTCTTTTGTCTTGTGGTTTTTTGTTGCTCTCACATTTATTTTCTTCTTCTCTTTTCACTTTAAATATTTTCTTCCCTCCTTGGACCCAGACCACTATACTCATCATGAAACCGTAAATTTTTACCATTTATTATTAACGTAATGACTTGAGAAAGTTGGATTTCATATCTTCAATCTTGAATCTTAAATCTCCACATACAACTATTCATTCACTCATCTATCTCGACTCTTTATATTTTTTCATTTTCTAGCTATTTATATGTCTGGTTTTCTATCTGTATGTCTAATAAGCTATCTATCTATATATCTGGTGAACTATCTATATCTGGTGAACTATCTTTCTATCTTGTGAATTATCTTTGTCTGGTGAACTATCTATATCTGGTGAACTGTCTATATGTCTGGTGAACTAACTATATGTCTGGTGAACTAACTATATGTCTGGTAAACTATCTATGACTAATAAACTATCTATATTCCAGGTGAACTATTTTTTTGTCTGTGTAGCTATTTACATGTCTGGTTTGCTATCTGTATGTCTTGTAAGCCATCAATATATTGGGATCGCTTTCTTTATGTCAGGCAAGCGATCTATGTTGTCTGACAAGCTATCTTTGTTGTCTAGTAGACTATATTGTCTGGTAAGCTATCTATGGTGTCTGGTAAGCTATTTATGTTGTCTGGTAAGCTAACTATGTTGTCTGACAAGCTATTTATGTTGTCTGACAAGCCATCAATATATTGGGATCGCTATCTATATGTCAGGCAAGCGATCTATGTTGTCTGATAAGCTATCTTTGTTGTCTGGTAGACTATATTGTCTGGTAAGCTATCTATGGTGTCTGGTAAGCTATTTATGTTGTCTGGTAAGCTAACTATGTTGTCTGACAAGCCATCAATATATTGGGATCGCAATCTTTATGTCAGGCAAGCGATCTATGTTGTCTGGTAAGCTATCTATGTTGTCTGACAAGCTATCTCTGTTGTCTGGTAAGCTATCTATGTTGTCTGACAAGCTATTCTGTTGTCTGACAAGCTATTCTGTTGTCTGGTAAGCTATCTATGCTGTCTGGTAATGCAGGTCCGGTTATCTATTTACCTATGTCTGGTGAACTATCTATATATATGATTAGCTGTATATATGTCTGGTAAGTTTTTAATACTGGTTAGCTGGTAAGCTATCTAAATGTCTGGTGAGCTATCTTGATGTCATATTTTGTCTGGTAATTCACTAATCCCATTTTTCTGGTAAGATTCTTTTTTTGTATTTTTTCTTTTCCATTTTTGTCCATCTTTCTATCTCAATATCTGTCTCTATCTTATCTAGCTATCTACCTATATTTCTATTTTATCTATCCATTTATCTATCTATCTATCTATGAATAAAACCTGCATGGAAACTAGGGAGGGGTGAGTTTACTCAAGGACATATTTTGGCATATTTAGGATATTTGGCTCAAAGCAAAAACTCCCAAGTTTTTTTAAAATTTGTTTCACGACCTGCGTATCCATTTTTAGAATAAATCCTGCACATTTACCATCCATTTTCTTCGTGCAAATATCGTCTTAAACCCACGTCAACCC